TGCAATTGAGTCACACATAAATCATATTTTTTTAGAGTTTTGAATTCATTTACTTATTTTATTATTTATTTTTTGGACCTGGGATTGAACCCAGGGTTGCTTAACTACTGAGCCACATCCCCAAGCCCTTTTTATATTTTATTTAGAGACATGGTCTCTCTAGGTTGCTTAGGACCTTGCTAAGTTGCTGTGGCTGGCTTTGAACTTGTGATCCTCCTGCCTCAGCCTCTCGAGCCTCTGGGATTTCAGGCATGGGCCACTGCTCTTGGCCCTTGAATTTATTCATTCATCCCATAAACATTTATTGAACACTTTCTTGGTGTAGTGTGTGTGTGTGTGTATATATATATATATTTTTTTTTTTAACTAGGCATTGAAGGGAATGTTATAACAAGAGCTGCCATTTATTAATTTTCTGCAGTATACCAAGTGTTCAGCTTTCATTTTTTTTTTCTCAACCTACTTCTATAACCCAAGGACAATATCTTCATTTTAAAAGTGTGAGAATAGAGGAAACTGAAAGTCAAACAGGTCAGAAGATAACCTGCGGACTTATTTGTGAAGCTTCTGAGTGCGTGCTTTTTCTGTGCTGCAAAACCCTGGAGACTTATTTCAACCCAGAGAGACTTCCTCATTAAATGGAAATATAATTCAGTGTGATCATGAACCAGGAATGTTATGGAAACTCAGATGGAAGAGCAGAACATTTCTGAGGCTTGGGTCCACTACTAAAGGCTTAAGGAGGAAAATAAATCCCAAGAGAGTAGGACCCACTGACTGTGCATGTTATCCTAAGTGAAAGTTTTCTGAAGTTCCATTTTATATATTTAGGTGGCCTTCTAAAATGCTTTTTGGAAGAACACAGTGTGTAACTAAAGAAACCAATTAAACGCAGTCAATATTATACCCATGAAGTTGAAGTACAGATACTTTGGAGGTAATGTAATGTCTTGTTTTGTAATATAATAATCTACATGAAATAACTTTTCCATATGTCAATGAGACTGGGTAGCTTGCATTCTTATCTCAGTACTGAGGTCAAATCACAGAAAAGCAATACATTTTTCAGAGATCTTCCCAGTGCCACTTTGTCTCAGAATATCTTCAAGTAAATGGAAAAGAATATTGTAATTGATGGACTAAAAGGATAATAATACACACAGTGGATTTTCAATAGAAGCCTTCTCAAGGCCACATTTAACTGCAGTTTCAGATGAAACTGAATCATAAATTTAAATAGAAAAAGACACAATTGCTATTACTTGTAGTGCTGGCAAAAAAGTATATAGATTTGCATAATATAAGAAAAGGAGTCCATTAATAGAGTCTCTGCAAAGAAAGCTAAAACCCAGAGTCAAAGTTTTAATTTAGTTTTTTGATGTCTGTTAAGTTTTCTCCCACTTCTTGGGCAGTTAGTTCCCTCTGAAATATCAATTCTATTTTGGAAATGAAGATCTTGACACTCATTAAATTACTCTGGTGTCTTTTCAAATCACATAAATCTTTAAATTACAGAAATGTTCTTAAATTATGTGTCATGTTTTTTCATCTTTTCTGCCTCTAGGGGGAAGTGTGTTTTCAACAATTCTGTCCCCAGAGGTATTTTCTTGTAGGCTATAGGCTTTCAGAGTGTTCTTTAGTGTGACTTCAGAGCTGACTGGACAAGGAAGAGGCCCCTTGAAAATATGAACAGTCCACTTTAAAGGTTGCAGCCAGGATTCTGAGGGAGCAGGGTGGTAGAGATTGTTACGAATGGTTAGAGAAAACTTCATTCCAGTAGCTTTTCTACTACATTACATAGATTCATGCTAGTTGCCCTATGTGGTGCTGTCTTTCCAGATAGAAGTAGAATGATATATGGACACAAATTTCAGTTCACAGAGCTGGAAACTAAGCAGTTGAATACTCTATGGAAACGTTGCCTCCTTATTTTAGTAGTTTAAAGTTTAAAAATCATGTTTTTTGGATATTGATGAAAACATATCTAAACCTATAAAAAATCTATTAATTTCTATAACATCACATTTAGGACTAACATTGTCTTCAGGCTTTCAACTGGTTAATTTTATTTTGTAGCATTTCTTCATAACTTTCATTTGTTTTCATGTGACATTTGAAGCCAGAAAAAATGCACCCATTAAAAAGCTTAGTGGTTTTTTTTTTTAATATGAAATTATGCTTCTTTTCTCCCATTTCAGTGTTTCACAGAATGAAAAGGAATCATATTTAAAAATTGAGTCCAAGGATGAGTTATTTTTATTTTCACCCCTTTCCTTTTTTCTTGTTTTAGTTTTATGATAGTATTACAAAAATTCTGTTATAAAATGATGTTATTTTTAGTTTTAGTGGGCCATATAGCTTGGAAACAGCAATATATAAGATTAAAAAAATCGATACAAATAATGTTGTTACTTAAAGTGGGTGTTGGCTTTGTCTCTAACCCTCTTAAGATGTTCTCAGGGGTTGAAGAGGTATTTATTTGTATGATTTATACTCTTTGGGCCTCAATTCTTCAACTAGAGAAGTGGAGATGTCAAGCTGAGTGACTTCTTGCAGAACTCCACTATATTTACACAAACTCTCAGCTGGCTACTAAAAAAATAATCTGATTTGACGGAAAGAAACAAGCCCATACCATTAAAATTCATATACTTGTAATACTTGGTGAGTCTTTCTATAATCTTCTGCCTGTTTGCATTTGAAGAACTTTCTTTGGAATCCTAACTTCTGCTCACTGGAATTTTCAAGGGGTGTTTGGAGTATGTGCAAGGGTAGGAACACCAGCTTTCTTGGTGTTCAGTGACAGAACTGTTCAGTGACAAGCTGGAAGTTGAGGCTAAGGTGCTCACCCTAACGTAATCGCACTGCCCCGCAGCTGACCTTCGGGCGAAGCTGGGCAGCGCCGGGATAGGAGAGGCATTCATGCCGGTTGCCACTGAAACCCCAGACTCTCCGAGTAAGCCCACATCACACATTGCAGAATCATATCGCCCTTGGCGGGTGTTCCCCAGACACTGGGCATACCGGGGAGTAATCAGAAACCTCGGTCCTTCACGTCTCCTGGCAACCAGTTGAAATCCATTAAGACCCTTGGAATTCTGGATTTAGCTGTTGTCCTGTTGTCTTTTTTTTTTTTTTTTTGAAGTAACTATGATCCTATAAACAAACGTCCGCCCTACTAGAGCTCTGGAAGGATTTAATTGCTGTGAAGCGCTAAATCTAAATTTCCGAATCAAAGTGTGGATATGATAGTCAGAAATTGTAAGTTTGACAACCCAATAAAAATTAAAAAAAATAAATTTCCAGTGTGTGTGTGTGTGTGTGTGTTATTACCTGTTTGTTGGAATTACATTTTATATAGATGCTGCTTTTGCTACTGGTTGGCAGCTCTAACTAAATTAGTTCTCGTAGGAGTTAGAAGCTCCTACTTTAGGATTTAGGCAAAAACGGCGCATAATCTGAAATCTAAATGACCAAGAGGCTGAGACGTTACCCATAATTACATTTATGATGCCAGAAAGAGCGATAAGGAGTGTCGTTAAGAGCGAAGAGAGCTGATGCCAAAAGTTGCCACATCTCCGGAAACCTCAATTTGCCTTTTCACGGTCACAAACCAGAGCGAGGGCGCTTTAGGGCTTCAACGTTTAAAAAAAAAAAAAAAAAAAAAAAGCGCCTGGGCGGTGGCACCGGGGTTAAGATGTAAGTTTCTGCCGATAGAGGGCGTACGTTTAAGACTAATAGAAATTTATGGACAGGGGCGCCCAGTCAAATGAAAGAACATTTTATAACATTTTTCAATTTATTTTAATTTGCGGGACTTAAGAGTTCTCTCGTGCAATGCAGCACGTTCACAGTGCAAATGACTTCGGTGTGTTAAGGCGTACAGAGGGTCCAGTTCCTTTTTGATCTGCCTAGCTGCGCGGCGAACTCCTGGCGGTGCTCCTCTGTTTCCACCGCGTCTCTACTGCCGTTGTGGCTGTGACCAGTGAATAGACTGGGTCTAGGAAGCAGGACCTTCCTTGGCATCGCTAGCCTCCAGCCTAGTGCCTAGCGCACTCGGGAGAAGAAGCGAATGGATCTCCCGGAGCTCGGTCTGGCAGAGTGCGTTCGTCCCCACTCAGGGGATCTTCCAGGAAGCAGAGCGAAGAGACAGTCCCTTTATTTAGTTACCTGGTTTAACCAACAAAGCCTGGAGAACGTCTCGGCGACGCAAGCGTAGTGCCATCTCCAGGAGCCGAGTCATTTGCTCGCTTTGGGAGCAACAGGTTTCGCTTTCTTGCTCTCAGTGCGTTGGCGGAGGGTCTGCAAGCGGAAACACAGTGACCGACCCCGACACCGCTGTGACTCCCAGAGTGAACCTGCGCGGCTCAGAGGGAGGGGGCTGGCGGAGTCGGGGAAGGAAAGGTGAGGGTAATGCCCCGGTCGGCTGGGCACGTCGGTCCCTCAAATGAGCCTTCTGCATTGGGACCTTGCTCGTAGTTTCCTGACCTTTCTCCAGGCGACCAGGAAGGTCAGGTGCCCGACCGGGATAGGCTCACCAGGAAGGAATGTGCACGGATCATTAAAGAGGTGAGAGCAAAGGGGACCTAAGACTTTTGCACAAAAACTATCAATTTCGAGAACCACTCCCTCCTTCCAATCCTGTCGTTTTTTTTCCCCCAGTGAGTGTTTGTGTGTGTGTGTGCGCGCGCATTTCTTTACTTTCAAACACATTTCCTCTTAAAGCCTGGAGAGCTGGAGAGAGCGTGGCCAGGGAAAGGCGGGGATCCGAGAGGCGCGCGGATCTGTAGGGGCTGCCGCCGGTGCAGACGTGGGCGGATGAAGGTCTAAGGAACCGGCCTGAGGCCGGCCAGGAGTGAGGGTTAGGGAAGAGGGGAGCGGCGGGCAAGGAAGGGGTGCAGGGAGGAGCCCTGATGTAAGAATGTTAATGACAGGCTCCCCCAGCCCAGCCCCCACCTTTCCCCACCCCCACCCACCCCACCCCCTGGAAATACAAGTCCGTCCTTGGCTCGCCATGTGTGGTAACACGCTCCGCCGCTGCCACGCTATTTAAACGCGGGCTATGGATCCAGGAACCGGCGCGAATCAATGAGATCAAACGCGAAGGAGATGCACCGTCAATTACAAGCACTTGGACAAGTCTAACTTTTTTTTTCTTTTACAAATACGCTTTCAAAAGCAACCTTAGCAACGCCCAAATAAGAAGCCACCTCTAAGCAAACAGCATATGTATAAAGGGAGGGCGAATATATATATATTTATAATAAGTATATATGTATATTACAGACGCACAGGTTTACACTCGGTGAACTTTTTCTTTTTTTAAAAAAACTAGTGACATTGAAGAGAAGGACTGTTCCTCTCTATCTTTTGGCGCGTTAGTGAAGGGGGTATTCTGTTTTCTTAGATCGCCCAAGGGGGCGCAGGGACCTCAAAGAAGAGTGGGGAAGAAAGAGGAAGGGTGGGTGGGGGGCAGAGGGTGAGTCGGCGGCGAAGGCTACCGCTTTCTTGCGGCACGATGCCGTCCCTGCTGGTGCTCACTTTCTCCGCGTGCGTCCTGCTCGGCTGGGCGTTGCTGGCTGGCGGCACGGGTGGCGGCGGGGGTACCGGCCCAGGCAGCGGGCGCCGGGAAAGAGAGGCGCTGCCTCCTCAGAAGATCGAGGTGCTGGTGCTGTTGCCCCAGGACGACTCGTACTTGTTCTCACTGGCTCGGGTGCGGCCGGCCATCGAGTATGCCCTGCGCAGCGTGGAGGGCAACGGGACCGGGAGACGGCTTCTGCCGCCCGGCACTAGCTTCCAGGTGGCCTACGAGGACTCGGATTGCGGTAACCGCGCACTCTTCAGTCTAGTGGACCGCGTCGCGGCTGCACGAGGCGCCAAGCCCGACCTCATCTTGGGGCCTGTTTGCGAGTACGCTGCAGCACCGGTGGCCCGACTTGCGTCGCACTGGGATCTGCCCATGTTGTCGGCCGGAGCACTGGCCGCGGGCTTCCAACACAAGGAAACTGAATACTCGCACCTCACGCGCGTGGCGCCTGCCTACGCCAAAATGGGCGAGATGATGCTAGCCTTGTTCCGCCACCACCACTGGAGCCGCGCTGCGCTCGTCTACAGCGATGACAAACTGGAACGGAACTGTTACTTTACCCTCGAGGGTGTTCACGAGGTTTTCCAGGAGGAGGGTTTGCATACGTCTGCCTACAATTTCGACGAAACCAAAGATTTGGACCTGGACGACATCGTGCGCTACATCCAGGCCAGTGAGCGAGGTGAGCAGGAGCGCGTCCCGGACCCCTGGTCCTAACCCATCCTCTCTCCGCGACTCTCCTTACACACCGGTCCTGTTCTCTGCAGACCTCACTGTTCCCTGTGGCGCTAAGGATCCCGGGAGGGTGTGCGCGGGGACTTGCCAGGTGTGAGCTGTTTGGCAGCGATCTTTGAGGATCGCCCATCGCTGTGGAGGGGTGTACTTAGAGGGTCCTGGGGAGGTGGAAGGGTCTGGGCAAGGAGAAAGCCGTCTTCTGCGGGTCCATGTCTGACAGGTGCTGTCAAACCACTCGGGTTTTTTCTTCCCAGCTCCCTATTTGCCAGCGCAGGGTTGGCGATTAGAGGCGCACCACCAGTGCCCTGCTTCAGGGTCTGAAGCATGCCAAGGCCGAAAGAAGTTGTTACCCTCTCCATTGCTGTTGTGCGCTCCCGCTCAGTGGCAGTGTCCTAGGACGCTGTGCAGCTGCGCGCTGCCACTTGGCTCACGCCCGGGCCTCTCGATTTTCCTAGCTGCGCTTTCCCAGACCCCAGGCGTCTTTTAAAAGTCTCATTGTGTCGCTCTGTCATTCCTCCCATGACCCCTTTAGTCCCTAATGCTTCGTAGTGTTTGGATTCGGGCAACACTCATTTTCCCCGGGGCTTTCGTCATCACAGTCTCTAGAGCGCCCAGAACTAGACTTTTTTTGCGGGAGCGCTCTCGAAAAGCGGCCATTGAATCTCCTTTCCACCTGCCTCCACTCAGCGCCAAATTTTCTCGGCGGGTCTCTAGGGGGTTTGGAATAATACCCAAACTGGATAAAGTGCTCAAGACTGGAAATGGTGGCTATGGCTGCAGCGAGTATGGTGGAGGAAAGGTAATAGCGGAAGCCCCTATTGCGGCCCATTTTACTGCAGGTAGACTGCGAGGAGCGGGGTTGGTGGTGAGATCCCAGCATAGTGCAGATTCCTCTTCGGTGGTAGAGGGGTTGGCGTGAACTGCACTCAGGGAATCCCGCCTCCGATTTCCTTCAGTGCGCACGCGCCTGGAGTGCCTGGGGTGAAACCCCAGCAAAACTCTTCGCAACCCCTGTGCCACCGAGGGGAGCAGGGTTGAGCCATGCGCAGGGTGTGTCTACATCTTGGTACGAACTGGCATCTGAGCTTTGGCCATAGGGGCCAGCACAACCTGAGGCTGGGAACCTCAGAAGCAGGTGAGAGTAGGCAGAGAATACATTGAGGATAAGCTGTAGCCATCCCGCTTCCCATCTTGGCCTCGAACTTGAATGAACACACCCTTTAGAACGAAGGGGCAGGAGGTGTTGACAGTAGGCTGCCTGGCATGTTTTGAGCATTCGAACTCCAGGCTGTCTGCGCCGAATCCCTGCCAGCTAAGCAGGCGGGGCGCGGGCTCTGCTGATTATGAAAAAGAGCATTTGTGTTCAACGGCTGCGGACTTGCCACGCTTGGCCTGGGAACCCACATCTGTTTCTCTCCGCCCTTGCGGTCCCGGGGTTGCCGCAGCCTCCTTGCAGATCTCGGACTGCTATAGCCCCCGGAACCTGCCAGGAACTAGAAGTTGGAGACTTCTTAGGGCTGGCTGGGGTTGGGGGTGTGTCTCTCTATCGGCGAGATCCGTGGTTTGCAAGCGCGTGTGTGCTGCCTTTGCTGGACTGGTTCCAGTGGGCAGTCAGAGACCTCAGCGCACGTGGCGTGGGATACAAGGCAGAGTGGATCTGTTTGCCCAAGTGAGGGTAGATCTCAGCCAGGGGCCTCTCAACCTCACATGAGTTGCTGAGGCCATATAGCACAGGGAGGGCAGTAGTCCCGTGGTGGGCCTGGGGGGCTGGTGGCCTCAGGCTTTAGAGGATTTGGGCTGCCTTGTGTGGCTACTGCGCGCTCCCTCCCTCCTTTTTGTGTTATATATACATATATATGTATATATATATATCTGTCTATATTACACATTATATATAAAATTTATATATGTACTATATATATCTCAAAGCCTCATAGATATTACCAAGTCTCTGCTTCTTTTTTTTCCTTCTACATTTGAATTTAGCGATGAAAGTTTGCTGGGCTCAGGTTTATACCTTACAGGTGATAAAGTTATGATTTTTATGATTCTTACTTTAAAATATATTTCCAACAAGGACCTGACATATATTCGGAAATATGAAATAAAATAGTTTCTTTCCTAAACCATTTTCCCTACCTTCCAAATTCCTTACTCTCAGGAGAGAAAGTTGCTTGATAACAAAGATCTCAGGGGATCTTCTACAAACACATTCAGTTATTCTTTACCATAAACAGTTAATGTGTTAAATAGGGGGTTCAGTTTCAGTGGAGTCTGTAGCTCAGCCACTCACTGGCTGGTGAATCTTGGGCTGCTATTGAACTCTGTACCTGGGACTCCTTAGGTAAAATTGGGTTAGGGAGAGTGCCCAGTCTTTGGGATGATGGGAGGAACTAACTCCTGGAATGTGCCGGAAACAGTGCCAGACCCATAGTAAGGGTTCAATAAATGTGGTTTTATCATAATGGTTGTTACTTCATATATGTGATGATAAGCACCTTTACTGAGAAGGAAAGGTCCTGCCATGGGAGAAAACCCTGGGTTGAGAAGCAGATGCTTGGGGATCTGGTGTCTTAACTTACCAGCTTGGGTTTACCTGTGCAAGGCACTGTGCAGGAACTTCCTACCCTGAGGCACAGGGACTCTGGTGAGAATTAGGCCTCTTCAAACTGATGTTTGTTGGTTCTGATTTGTGCATAGGCTCTTTTTTTAGAAATAATGATTTTTATTTAAAATAGATTCACTTGTACACCTGACTACTACCCTCAATATTCCACGCTTAATGGTAAATTTATTTTAAAAAAGATAGAATGGACTAATTTTTTCAAGCAATGAAAGGCAGTCATTGTTTTGTTTATACACCTTAAAAGTGTACAGATGTAACTGACAGTATTTCTGCCTTTGAAAATTCCTTATTAAGGATTATGAACTAGAGTATTCTCTAGAGAGTTCCTTTGCCCCTTCTTTTGCAGAGAACATTTTTAGCACTTGTTTTTGTGCTATGCTTGACTTCATATTTAAATCCAAATGAATATTTTAATCTCTTAAATGGCACTCTCAATGGCACTATACAATGGCACTATCCCAAATAATCATATGACTAATTTTTTTTTACTATGGATTGTACTAAATCCATAAACACTAAAAGACTTCAGTTATTTTTTCATCTTAGGGAGTTACTAAATGTAAGTCAATAATTTAAAACCATTTTTCCTCTCATGTCTTTAGCTTATGTCACCAACATACACATGACTGAGCATACATTTTTAAAATAATGGTCTTTATTTAAAACGGACTCACTTATGCATATGAGCACTGCCCTCAATATTCCACACTTACATGATAGATAATGAGCTATATCCCCAACCGATAGATTTATCTTTAAAAAGACAGAGTTAGAATTAAGTCATTTTTTTCAAGCAATTAAAGCCAGGAGTTTTTCGTTTATATACCTTATAAAATGCAGTACTCAGAGTATTCTACACACAAGATTTTTTTTTAAATGAAAAACTGGAGTTTTATTATTTTAGTTATTAATATGTCATCAAACTGGGCCTAGGTAATAGCTGTAGAGATAATAGTAATTATTCAATTCAGGAATCATCCATTTTTAGTAGTCTCGGGTAAATGAGTGGTAAATGATAAAGTGGTTGATCAGAATTTCTAAATAATGCACTATAAGTGTAAAATAACTTACACAGAATAACATGGGAAAAGAGAAGCACTGTAGGCTGCAATGCAGAAATTCCAGACCTTCAGAGAAGGTACTGCTTTGTGAACAACAAAAAAGAAGATATATCTCATTTTTGCAAACAATATCCATTGCTATTAAATGTAGAAAACAGCCAGAGAAAACTTTTTTGAAAAAAAAAATAGATTTTAATTTAGCAAAATTAATTATATAGCCACATAATTTAAAGTCAGAAAATTATACAAATCTGATTAAGAAAACTTTCATTGCTTTCTACTCCCCATTTCTTACTTTCCAGAGGCAATCATTTTTAGATAATGTAGCTTTCTTGTAGTCATTTGTCTTTATATCTCTAAATAACAGGTTATTTTTGATTTTGTCAGTTTTAGACCTTCTCTCTTGATATCCCCATGGAAGATGATGATCAAGGTCGCTTCTACTGTCTGTTAACCACATACACATTTTCCTTTTAACATGGACCTGTCAAAATTTTGTTTAGCTCAGTATTCAGTATCAATATTATTATTTTCTTCTAAATACTGTTCACAGTCAAGACATGCAGGTTACTAGGATGACACTATCTTTCTTGCTCCGCTTTCAGGCTTAGGGTAAAAATTAAAAACAAAAACAAAAACAACCTTTTTTTTGTTGTTTGTTTTCTTAGTTTCCTATGGACTTAAAATTAAACCTTACAAAATTATCTGTTTTAAGCTCCTGAGATGCTTCAGTGTAGTCGTGTTTGAGCTATACTTCACAGTTGTCATTCTGCATTATTCCTTTAATGTCTTCCTAGGTCTCCAGTCACCTCTATTTTTGAGCTAGGTCTTAGCGCTCCTGTTTTTTGCTTCAAGCCCTTGTTTGGGGGAAGCACATCATCTAGGAACTTTCTGAGAAAGAATGAACGAGAATTTTCAGACTTGTCACAAGTGGAAATTTCTTCATCTTGCCTTTAAACATGATTGTAGAATTCTAGGTTGGAAATAATTTTCTCCCAACATTTGACAACATGCTCCGTTGTCTTCTAAATCCTGATGTTATTATTAGGAAGCTTGAATAGATTCAGATTCTGGAAGTAATCTTATCTCCCCCCCCCCCCTGCTGAAAAGTTCTAGAATCTTCTCTTTACTCCCAGTGTTTTAACATTTCATTAGGATGTGCATTAGTACCAGTATTTTGCCTTATTACTCTTGGTAGGCTGCTTCTTTCCAGAAACTCTTGTCTTGTAATTCTTGGAAAAATTCTTAAATTATTTCTTT